GCGATGAGCGCTCCTTGTTGCTGGGTAAATCTGGTCAAGCTGGGATACGATCGTTATATCGAACTTTGAGTTGAGAGCTCCATGCCTGCGACCATATTAAAAAAGGAAAAGGGGCGAAGAAAAAAAAGACGCTGTTTTCCTTGATTTCCGAGGCGACATAAGTTGCACTTTATCAAATTCTAATCGGACATTCTCAAGCGCCATTCAGAAATTCTGCCACGCGACCGTGATTCTGCTCCTGAGTTCAGCGAAGTCTTTGATTTCTCCGCCACTGTAGATCACCCTGCTAAGCTCCTCCCGGTCCCGGTAATCGAGGGGTTCAGGTCAGGTCACCTGGATATTCCGTCACCTTCGGTACTAAACGGCCTTCCATTCCAAGTAAGCGAAAGTTTTTCCAGCTCCCTCCATTCCACAGCCGATACTATAGCAGTACGAAGTCTCCAATTCGGTACAGGTGACGGTAGATGAAGGCTGGATATTCTACTCGGGCTGATCGATATAAAAGTCAGCGTTCAATTCCACTCCAGGATCCCTGCAAAAATTTCGGGCATGCCATTCTAGGCGAGCCGACCCACATCAACTCGCGCGCCTTGGCCGATTCGAGAGATGATATCTTGGACAACAGCGACATTTTCGGAGCTGCTCGATGTAACTATTGGACTGATGTGCGATTCGGCTGAAGTGTCTTTCTTTTACCCGCTTCATTAGGAAGCATATGCCTATATGTATAACCTCTGCGGAAAATGACGAATCATTTTGTTCAAATATATGAATCTCTGTATATGAAAGTGAATGATATTTAAGGATATGTATATACGAACTTCTGACAAGTGCAAGAAAGGCTGGGAAAGCTCCTTGAAGAACAGCATCAATGTGATGCGAAAAGTCTAAAATCCGGATTCATGAGAAACCCAAGTGGCGAGCTTCATCTGCATAAACTAAGGGACAAAACGCTCACTGCTATTCACTAACAACAAGAGCAGAAGAGTGTTTTCGTAGAGGTTATAGGTAATCCCAAACAGTAGCCCACTTTGTCATCTGGGCACAGCAATTGTTGTGCGGAACCCATCGAGGGTCGTACTCTTGGCCCTGAGGAGGGAGGGGAGAACTAAACAGCACACATAAGTGTCATCGCTCAGTTTAATGAATCGGACGCACTGCTACAGAGGAGCGTGGCAGTGTAGATACTACAAAATATATAAAAATTATCAGCAAAGATCAAGCGCTAAACAATCATCCAGGCGATTGTCGACGGGCAATGGGACCTCGTCTGGACATAAATGCTTCGTGAGCAGCATGTTTGCATTCAGCATGCTGTGTGAAACTCATCGAGGAGGTCGTTCTTCGCGCTGGGGAGGGCGGGGTGGGGTCGTAAATCAGGGGTCAGCGGGCAATTACCAGTAAAGAAAGAGTCATCCCTAAGTAAGTTGATGGCAAGCTGCAAAGGACCCGGATGTGGGGAAGGCCACAAAATATCAAAACTATTGATACATCTACTTATATATAAACAGAAGTTGTTGTGTGTGTGTGTGTCGTCTGACACGCCAAAAATGAAGACCACTGCTCTGCGGCTGCCGACGGATTCGAACTGGGATTGCTAGAGGATCAGTCAATTCTCAGGTAGATTAAGCAAGGTAACCTAAGCGGTCTGCCGCATAGAAAATTTTGATGACTGCCTTCTTAGGGGGGTATATACAAGAAGTGAAACGGTAAAGTGCTGTAATTCTCAAAACAATTTTTTTCGACCATTCGCCCGGCGAAGCCGATCCGACTGGCCCTCCACGCCTGGAAAACTTCACACAGGGACCCACTTCACACCCGGAAGGAGGATCGGCCGGCTTCGCCGGCCGATCCGACTGGTATTAATATATGGCATGAACTGGTAAGTATTTAGATGGCTAAATAATATATCCTAACAGATTCGTGGGTATCAACCTTTTCGAATCCTCAACAAACAATTGCTTGCATGGACAAAAACACCTAAAATAAATTTTTTTTGTCGAAAAATGTTGCGCCTTTCCACTACCTCTGCGTAGAGGACAATGCACAATTCATAGAAATTATGTGTTTTGATGGCATAATGAACTTTCCAAGTGAGTGATCTTACAATGGCAAATGAGGAGCCGAGCTTTCAAGTGGCTCAAAATTTGTTTTGAGGACGACCTATCTAAAATATATTTTAAATTGGTGAGTCTCCAGGGAAACTGTAGTGCTTGTTGAAACGAAAGAATATCTCGCTTATAATGACGTCTTCAGCGTTGCGAAGGGCTACCATTAAAAGACGTCATTGCCGTCTGAAGCTTGGAAACTCGCTCAGGATTTAAGATTAATCGTTTTGTTTTCTTCATCTGAAGAGTCACGAACCGATTAGCCACTACATTTTGGTGAACAACACCGCTGTTAACGACGTACAATCGCAGGTTACTTAGTTGCTTTGGGAGCGCTGCAGTATTTCGTCTTTTACACATTTGCTGCTATCACATTCAGGCATTGAGACCCCTGCATTAAAGTCATTACTGATTGTTGACAAACTTATCTTCTTATGTCCGACATTGTACTTTGATCGTACATGTTAATTGTAATTGTTCTCTAATCGTATGTATAATTCTCACAGAATTTTCTTATGTTGTTTCTATCAACAGCTATGCTTATCTCTTACTCGCATTCCGCTCTGCAGCGTTATGAGAATATCGTTGTCTCGCGTAAGCTAATAAGATGAGAATTCTCTTCCGATGCAGCTTCCCAAGCGGGTCGCGCACAAACGCTGCCGGAGAAGATCGGAGGTGAAGCGTTTGACTGTTTTCACTCTATTGCTTTCTCTCTTCGAATTTTCCCTGCACGTAGAATTCGGCTGGAAGTAAGGCGTAGTGAGTGCGATTTGCAAGTACAGTACTCGGTTCTCTCCTCTTCGATCTAGGAGAATCGTCAAATGTTCTAGACGATGATCGGTGCAAGTTTTAGTCACACTTCCACCTATAACCGAAGCGTCAGCAACATTCATGGCGTATCTGCCATTACATACATAGTCAATCTGCCCTAGAGTCTTCGTATCCGGGCTGCTCCACTTCCACAGATGTTTCAGTTTTTTTTTGAAAAAAACGTGCTCATGATTGATAAGAACTGGTGTTGCGCCGCGAAGTACCAGGAGTCATCTCTGTCGTTCCTTACGCCTGCGCTGTGTCTGCAATAAGAGGTCTTCCATGTCCAATCTTGCGCCAACAGTTGCATTGAAACCTCCTTGTACAATCGTGTATGTCGATTTGATCTTTGATACGATGAAACTCGGTCCGCCAGCTCTTACAGAATGTCGGCTCAGTGTCTTACACGATATAAAATTTGATGACATGTCCATGGTCCTTAGCCTGACCTTTCCCGTCACGAGGTGTGGAGTCGTTGTATTAAGTCGGGCATCGCCGTACACATATCTGGGTCCAAATCTTCTTTTCTCAAAGTTTTTGCCATTTATTTGCGGCAATCCATTCGGGTGGGCAACTTTCTTGACCTATGCCGCTGATTTTGCTCGACTGTTCGCTGCTGCTTATCAGATATAATCACAGCTGACCGCTACTACGGACGGTTGTCAATCGATCCACAACCTGGGGACGCGCCAGATGGCGCCGAGTATACTGGAAAATCGTATCTGGCCATAAAACTTTTTTGATAGTTGACTATTTTGCTTTTTGAGAAAAGTTTGTAGCTTTCTCGAAAAGTTTTTGCACGTTGCTGTTGGGTAGTATGTGGCGGTTGTTCCTGTTTCATATGTGCCCCACCTCTCCTTCCCTTCCTATCTACTTGCATTCATACATTCCAAATACATTGACATACACCAACTTTTCTCACATTTTCCCCAATTTGCCACCAACTCTTCTGGAACTTTCCTAAAACTTCTCTGTGCTCCCCCAGAACTAACCGAGCTATCGACTTTCGACTATCGAGCGGGCACGAGTCGACTAAAATCATCAGCTCATGCGTTGCTCTGTCCAAATTACATGAGCCGTGACTTGATTTTCTGTCCTATCAACTCGAAACAGTATTCCTATGAAGACTGGGGCTAGCTCGTCCTCTCTACTAGATAGGAGTTTTCTCAAACGATGATCAAGCTCATGGCGCACTTTCTTTGAACTGAGTACTTGACAAGAGGTCTCCAGCGTGTACCACAAAAATTTATGCTTCCTAAGCTAGAATTACCAGTATGTTGCAGGTATTTTCTTTTGTGCACATTCATGGAATCAAGGGGTAACATATTCAGCTAGTCTCTGCGTAAATAGTACGCCAAAATTCTTGCACATGTCATTACAAAAAGAGTGCATCGAGATCGCTAGAAGAAGCGGTCTCCTAACGAGATCAACACACAGTGTTGTAGAAAATCATAAGAAAGCCAACACCAAAAGAGGTCGAAATTACACCGATAAAGCAGAAGTAAAGAAAGTGAGGGCTGTCAGAGCTCTTCCATAGTGATCCTTTCAGAGTACCCTCGTCATCCTCGGCAGTTGATTAGGCGGCCGTCAACGGGCCGCAGCGCGTGCCAGGAACTATTTGCTTTTTCCAGGCTAATTTAGTCATTTTTTCCAATTTTTCACCTGTTTTTGGCTACTTTTTCCCAGATTAGCAGCTCCTCATCTTCACAAGGTGGGAAAAATGACTAAATTAGCCTGGAAAAAGCAAATAGTTCCTGGCACGCGCTGCGGCCCGTTGACGACCGCCTAATCAACTGCCCGGATGACGAGTTATTTGCGTGAAATTCATCCTGAATGTTATGTTTCCAACCCTACGTAGAAAACTGGCAATCAGCCTAACATTGCGAACCACCACCTACCATTCATTACGCGCATTACCAGTTAAGGCATAACAAGTAATCACCTTTCCTTTCGAGTGATCGTAACGCGTTAGCGCAGGGGCTGTATAGCTTGGTAGAGTAATGGTGGAGATACCACTGTGTCACACGGGCGGAGGGCAATAAATGGGTAGATGAGCTCTAGGTGAGTATCCCACGCGAGTGGTTAGGCCGGCTCTGATTTTTCTCTACCTGAACGCTGATCCTGAACAAAAAGCGGCAGTGGAAAAGGTTAAGGGCAGCACGACATCAATAAAAGTTTACCCACCATGGGTGTCAATTTCTCCATATCAGCAAGGCGGCGAAGATTGTACATCCTATTATGGTCATTGCGATCCTCTTCAGCCACCATGATTTTCGCAATCTTCGATTCGAAGTCAATGATCTCGTCTACATCCTTCGCAATCTTCGAATTGTTACTTGGAAGATGGGCGTATTCGATGATGAGTTTGACCTGAGACAGTCTCTACCATGTTGTAAATTTTCTCCAATAAAGCGATAAAATACGTAGAACGAATCTACGTAATCACTGGTTGCACTGACCACGACCACAAGGAACTGTCTGTAAAGTTCGATGAGTCCACCATACTTTACTCGGTCCAAATAGTAATCACGAAACTCCGGTCCGAAACCAACGTGACCAATTTGATCGAACTAAAATATTTGGTGATCAGATTTACATTGTTTATTAGGACCATTAATATTAGCTTCAATATTGATCGTATTCTCTGTACTACATACTTTTTCCTTTCACTCTTACTCTTATCCGACGACATAATCGAATTCTAGTTCCGACATAAAACTGAACATCTCAAAGAATACTGTAATGTTTAACATTGCCCTTCTCATACGCAAGCCAAAGTCACAGATGGTGGCCAGCCGATGTACAGGCAGTTTTATCCGGAATCTGGCAGCTTACCATCCCCGGGGGGTTGAAAGCTTGGTTGGTCTGGGCGGAAGTCGATCTGAGCCTTGAACCCGGCGAGTGGTAAGCGCGCCACTTGTCACTACACCACCTCCGCAAGTAAAATTAGAGACAGATAATCAAGGACACAACGGAAAGATAGCGATACATGATGTACAGGATCTTTTTTCCGCAGAAAAGTCGGAAATTGTAAAAATGACGAACAACAGTAATATTAGATAGTTGACCAATCTACGACGAGTTATCCGCTCGAAGAATCCTTGGGTCCGCTCCTCTGTAAGCCTCTGGGTAGATTGGTAGTCGCAAACTTACTTACTTAGCTGAACAGCGACGTTCATTGAGCTTTATCATTGCAGGGTTCGTCCACGTGCGCGCTGGAGATATAAGGAGCCGTCGTGACTCATACGGGTTCGTCCTCGCCTGCCACCCCCCGCTCGACTAGAGGAGACCACCCGCCTGTTGTATCGTCGCTGCCGGCATGTTTCTACTGTATTCTGACTAAACCGTCATTGGGGACGTATCCAATAAAGAATGATGGCTAATCGCGGTTTCACATGAAGATTAGGGGATGGTCTGAGGAATGGAATCCTCAGGCTTATGACTGATAGCAGCGAGTGGCGCCACCCAGTGACGGACGTCAGACAAGTCTTTCTTCGCTTCCTTCCAAGCGAGTACTTTACTCCTCCTTCCTTTTATTTTCTTTCTTACGAATAGTAAGTTTTTTCTGTCTTCTTTCCTTTCTTTCGAAGATTTTGTTGAATATTTTCCTTCATTCCTTTTGGTAGCAGCTCCCCTTTTTGCTCTTTTGAGCAACCGTCTGACACTTTTTGCGTGACGGGATAGCGCTCCTGTAAGGGCTCTTTGCAGAATTGACAGGAATGCAGTCCCTCACCGGTACTGTTCTCGAGTTGCGAGTTTTTTTTTCTCCCTTTTTTCTTCTTTTTGGCCCCGTCGGGGCGGATTTCGGCGGTGTTGCGCAAGATCGTTCGCCAGTCGGTAATATTTTCTGCCGGGTTTTTCGGGACGCGCACAGAGACTCATTACGAAATATCCTTACCCGTGTCCGAAGAATGTCGGCAGATGGCCCTCCATCATAATGCCTGTATGGGTCCCTCTCCGAGTCATCCGGAGTGTGGCGCACATCTAATAAGTTGCATTTCCAGTCCCCTTCTGCCCCCTTCGGATGTTGCACCAACCATACGGCAGAGGTCACTAACTGTTTCTCATATGCCACCACGGTGCATACTCGACATAGCGATGCTTTTCCACAGGCTCCAGTCGGCGATCTTTCCGAATGCGCCTACGGTGATGGATTATGTACAATGGCAGACGGCTCGCTTCTCATTTGGAACCCTGACAGGGATGTACGGTGCGGCTACAAGCTGGTGTCGTGACCGCGAATTTGCGCTGTCCTGGACTAACTCTTCCGCCACGGTGGAGGACTGTGACCATAACCTCATACTTCCAGATCAGGGGTATGGTGTTGAGCTCCAGCGTCGCCAGCCTCGCAGCTCTTCACCGCGCGTGGGCCTTGTTACTGTCGGCCCAGCTATTAGCCGTAGAAAAAGGCCTCGCTTCCAGCCATGGCTACTCTTCCGCAACGCCTTAGCCCTCCAAGCGGCCCTACATGTACACCCCACGCTCACTATGCGCGCTCTTTTGAGTCGCCAGGATATCGAAGCCTCCTACCTTGGCGACGGCTATATCCTGGTTCGACGCTGTGTTGTTGCCCTCCTCAGCACTTTCTTCCTTCCCTTCATAACACCTACTATGCATTTTCCCAGGTGGAACTCGGCTGCCCAGTACCCACTCGCATGCGGGCTTTTTCAGACCCCCGCCCACAGGAATATCCACAAGCAAGACAACTTTCGCTTGCTCTAGCACAAGGCCCTCCCTGTTTGGCTCGTCGATGGTGTACGCAGCTTTGACCCGCACGCGGCACGTGGTCGTTCGTTCGCCCTCTGGACGTTACCAAACTACCATCTGCACCCCAGAGGGTATTCGCCTAACGCCACCGCTCACGGTCTTCCACAATTTTATCCTCACTAATTTCACTGAAGCGTCTAACGACCAGCAGCTCCACGAACTATCCCCTCTGTCCCTGTTTGGCCCGTCGATGGTGTACGCAGCTTTGACCCGCACAGCGGCACGTGGTCTTCCTTCGCCCCTCTGGACGTTACCAAACTACCATCTGCACCCTCCCAGGAGGGTATTCGCCTAACGCCACCGCTCACGGTCTTCCACAATTTTATCCTCACTAATTTCACTGAAGCGTCTAACGACCAGCAGCTCCACGAACTATGGGTGGCGCGAGATCGCTCTCGCCTGGTTGACCATTTTGTGCGATGGGATGATACTTCAACGGGAGCCACGGATCAGCAATGGCGACGGATTCCTCAGTCACTTCATTTTGCAATTTCTCGGAGTTTTCCTTTCCCTTTGATTTTTGGGTGACCTGCGACCTGGACCTCCCCGCGCCATAACAAGTGCATTCTCTGCCTCTTCGACCATTTTACCAAGTTCGCGATTACAGCGACCCTTCCAGACTGCACCTCGATCACAGTCGCCAACGCCCCCATGACCCAGGCAATCTTGGTTTTCGGCGCCATGACCACCCTCGTCTCCGACAATGCGGCTTACCTCAAGGGCGAACTTCTCACGGAAATTGGTTGGTTTATGGAGATCGGACGCTACTTCACGACTCCGTACTATCATGAAGGCAATGGCGCTTGCGAACGGATGTTCGAAACGTTTCAAGAAATGCTGCGCACATACATCAGCGCTGACCAAGACGATCTGGGACCTCTTTTTCCTGCTTGCACCTTTGCCTATAGCACCTCCGTCCACAACAGCACCAATGACACTCCCTTTTTCCTTGTGTTTGGCCGCGATTCAAGTTTTAACATTGATCTGCTGATTCAACATGAGTTGGAGGGCCACGTCCCGTTGGATCATGATGTCGCATTTATGAAGAATCCTTGGTATCGGCTACTCATGCTGCATGGTCCTCGGCGGCATCCTGTAATAAGCGCAGAGCTGCAATGAAGCACCAGTATGACACCAAGGCGTTCCCCACCGCGTCCATCCGGGTGGGTGACCGAGTCCACCTACGGAATTTCACGCCCAAGCCCCGTCTATCACCCAGGTTTTGCCTCCTCTGGAAAGGGCAGTTCCGCGTCATAGCGGTCAACCACCCTCATTTGACCATCACAAGTCTGTCGGCCCCTCAAGCACCACCCAAACGAGTACACCTTAATCAGGTCAAAAAATGCTTCGCCTTAGCGGGACCCGTCTCTACGTCTCCCTGGCTCCCGGATGACAAACGCGAAGCCCTCGCAACCCTTGGGGCAATGCCTCCAATCCATAGTAGGTTACGCTCATGTCGTTCCACCTTCACTGGCCAATGAACTGTCCACCACCGAAGTTCCAACTCATACTTGTAATACTCGTTTCAGGGCCCGACTGGGATCAGTATGACGACACATTCGACGGACTCATGTTTCTCTTTTGGTCCCTCTTCCTTTCGTCCTAACATCTCGTGACATTTCATTTTTTTTCGTTTTTCTCCGCCTGTTCGGACGTACTCCTCTCTCTTCCTCGCTCGTGTTCTCGAGCGTCGTTGTGTTCCGTGGCCGGTACCTGTGACTCCCTTCTAATCACGACGTTTCACTTACGTGCATCAGCTGGCATGGATAACCTAAATTAGTGGCGCCCTGTGGCACGCCCGGGCTTTCCCCAAGTCAGCCTCGCTACTTCATCACCTGCTGACGCGCCTTGGGCTGCTGCCCATCCTTCTGAGAAGTACATTGTACATCACACGGGAACGATTCTTCTGACCATTGTAGAGCACGTTTTCATCCCCTTCTGCGCCTTTTCAGGAGAGCCGTCACTTTCTTCATCGTATGCCGCACCCTGTTGTGCCTCACCATCCTCTCACGGCACAGCGGATCCCTCTCCATGGCGTATGCTCTTTCGTAGTAATTCCCCGCAGCGACAATGGCTATTAACACCCGTTTTTCAGGATCACAGCCAGGGGCTCTTGCCCAGTTTTCTGACACTTTTGCCTTGGACTCGGGTACTGTAGCGTATTCGCCAACGGCAGAAGCTACTTCATCTCGTGAGTGCTTGATATCCATTCAGCCTGCTTCCATCTTGCTTCCTTTACTGCGTTATGCCTATCCAGGTGCCGCTTTGTCGTTGGAATCCCGCCCCGCTCCTTGTGCTTCGCCATCAGGACGTGCCCCTGCACCCGCTACGGCATCTGGAGGTTCTCGAGTGGACGTGTTTTCCCGCTACCGGAACCCCCCTTCACCGGCGCCGGGGCCATCGTGGTCGTCTAATGCTGTTGCCAGGGAGGGCTCGCTGTTGCTCGTCCCGCAAAGCGACTCTGTTCAACCTCGCCTCTTCATGGAGTCCAGTCTCACCCCGCTCGGTCACCGCGTTGGGTGCGAACTCCCGATGACTACACCAATGAGTTTTTCCACCTCCACCCTTGGGGCGGCCTCGTACAACCTCGTCCGCCGATTCACAGCCTGACGGAAGATATGCTTACGGCACAAATGCCAGCTCATGCTTACCGGTTTGTTCCGCAGGACGGTTACTTTGCTTACCGTTTCGTACGTTCATTGTTCCCTCGTCGGTTCCTTGGAACTCCTTCACCCACTAACAAGATTTCGATTATGGAGATTCCCCGTCTGCCACACATCATCGCGTTCCGGCAACACGCGATGTCATTAGCCGACGAGCTCCTGGATTACACGTACGTCAATGACTACGAGGAAGTCATGCGTCTACCGCCCACTACTGTCCGCGTCCACCCTTCGTTACTATGCCCACCTAGCATGAAGAATG